AAGTGCATGTGTAAAGTTTCAAGTAAATATCTTTGAAGACCTTTAACCTTTAACCAAAATTTCTAAGTTTCAAAGGGGCAAATAATTCTGCAAATATTGCAGGCAGAGTTATGCAATTTTGCAAACTGATGTACATTGTTACTATAAAAAAAGTATTTTAAATTTCAATTGAATATCTCAAGCAATAATTGAGATATTTGACTTTACAAAAAAACTTTAACCAAAATTTCCAAGTTCCAAAGGGGCATAATTCTGTCAATATTGTAGGCAGAGTTATCCAACTTGTCAATCTGATGAACCTTGTTACTATAAATAAGTATTGTAAGTTTCAATTGAATATCTCAAGCAATAATGGAGATATTTGACTTTACAAAAAACTTTAACCAAAATTTCTAAGTTAAAAAGGGGCATAATTCTGTCAATATTGTAGGCAGAGTTATCCAACTTGTCAATCTGATGTACATTGTTACTATAAATAAGTATCGTAAGTTTCAATTGAATATCTCAAGCAATGATTGAGATATTTGACTTTACAAAAAACTTTAACCCAAATTTCTAAGTTAAAAAGGGGCATAATTCTGTCAATATTGTAGGCAGAGTTATCAAACTTGTCAATCTGATGTACTTTGTTACTATAAATAAGTATTGTAAGTTTCAATTGAATATCTCAAGCAATAATGGAGATATTTGACTTTACAAAAAACTTTAACCCAAATTTCTAAGTTAAAAAGGGGCATAATTCTGTCAATATTGTAGGCAGAGTTATCAAACTTGTCAATCAGATGTACCTTGTTACTATAAATAAGTATTGTAAGTTTCAATTGAATATCTCAAGTAATAATTGAGATATTTGACTTTACAAAAAACTTTAACCAACGCAGATGCCGACGCGGACGCCGACGCCAACGCCGGGGCGACTACAATAGCTCTCATATTCTTCGAATAGTCGAGCTAAAATGAAAAACAGAAAAAAAGAAGATATTTTAACATTTTCCACTTGTCTATAGGATGGTGACAATAAATTAACATATCCTAAAAAATATAACATTTGATTAAATTTTACAACAAATTATGAGTTAATTAAGGCTGGCCACCTTTAAAAGTGTTTTATGTGTGTACATGTACATTGTATATACATGAAAATATCATAATGATGTAAATTAAAGGAAATGTACAACTGCATAGTGATTTTATGGCATGTGGGAATAATGAGAATAAAACATTTCAATAATTTGCATATATCTGCATACCCATGTATGTGATTAAATAGCTATCAATACTGTAGATTGGATGATTTTTGCAAAACTCTTATTTTCACTGTCATTTTTTGGGGGGTGGGGTTATTGTGTCACATCAATAGCACAGTATAGGTGACATGGCAACTTTCTAGCTTAACTGGTAGAGGAAGACCTCAGGTGCCCTTCTGTGCATTATTCTAAGCCTGAACAAGCACTTGAATAGAACCAACTGAAGTATAAGCTAGCTGGACAGCTTCCTCACATGAAAGAATTCAAAGACACTGTTGGGATTTCGAACCCAAAGTGCTGAAGGGCAAGTGGTTTGAAGTCAACTACCTCAACCATAGACTCCCCTTTTTCACTGTCTAGAACACAAGTTTTAATTCATTTGCCATTTATGAATCTTATTTCTTGTCAGCTATGTTTCTATTTGTGAAATAACTAAAATAATTTCAGCAAAATGAATTTCTTTTTGTCTTAAAATTTACATGTACATAATAAAAAGATAATTATGCTATATTAGCTTTCTGAAGCCATGTATTTTGTTTTGGTCTCGAGTGATATCAAAATCCCCTACTTCTCATAGCAAACTACAAAGTCTCACAAAGCTACTGGTACTACAATACATATATGCTAATTGCTACATGGTAATTGAGCTTGTATAAAATTAGTCAGTGCAGAAATTATCAAATCTACAGTATGTAATAACAACAAAACAGTATCTGATAATAACAAGTAACAAATAAGCTATTCTATTACATTCTACATGTAGATTAATAATCATTCATACAAATTTTAACTCATTAAAAAATATCATATTAAATCACTTTCATACCTAGAATGAAATTTTATAATTCACATCAAAGGCCCATTATGCCTCAGGAATGCCATCAGTTCTGTTTCTCAAAAGCTGGATGTTTCCAAAAACATAGTCATTTGCTTTAAACTATCTTTAGTTCTGTTGACGATTGGTTTAAATACAGTGAAATAGTATTTTGTATGGAAGTCAAAATGCAACTTTCTTTACATTTTGTTACCTTTATGACACAAAAACTGCAAATTGTACAGCGCTACTTCTACAATTGTAAAACATCTAACATGCTCTTAATCCATAATTTAAACATTATTAAACACATGTCTGATATTTCTAAAGAATTGAAAAAAATATGGATTTCTGAGGCATAATGTGCCTTTAAATCAAAAAGGTTACATCACAACAAAACCAACGTAATGCGTTTGCGACCAGCATGGATCCAGACCAGCCTGCCCATCCACGCAGTCTGATCAGGATCCATGCTGTTTGCTATCAGTTTCTCTACCTGTTATAGGGTTTGTAAGTGAACAGCATGGATCCTGATCAGACTGCGCAAATGTGCAGGCTGGTCTGGATCCATGCTGGTCACAAACCCATTATGTTGGTTTTGTCATGGTGCGGCTCAAATCTGAAGAAGAAAAAAAGGCGATAAATGTTTTATAATCATAATAATTGTGATACTGGAAAAAGAAATAGAAAGAAAGAAATAGTGATATCCAAATATGTCTATATATTACATAATAATAAAGTTTAATTATAAAATATGTAATTTTAAATTCAAAAATGAATGAAATTTTTTAATCTTAGAAAAATAAAGATTAAAAAATACAAATTTTTTCATCAATTTAATTAATCATAAGAATTGGAAAATTTTTTTTTATCAGGATATCCAAACAAGTTTTCAGTGAGCTTGAATAAGCAAAAACTTGAAAGACATGCCTAAAAAATTCAGTAGGTTAAGGGTTAAAGATTACAAAAGAAACTAGGTTTAATATCATTATTAAAGGAGCTCTTCTGCGGACAAAAAGCCTAAAAACATAAAATTTGAATTTTTTTTCATCAGTCAAGTAAACCATTTAACCTTTTAATCCATTAGCATATTGCGAAAAATGGCCGTTTTCATTGAAAAGCCTCCTGTAACAAGTTCAAACTGCTATGAAACTATGAAAAATGCTTCAATACTGATGAAACTTGGCACAAATGTTGACTACACCATAGCCTCTGTAACAGCATGCTCAATCGTAAATTTCCTGTTACCATGGCAACGGGGGGACGTCTCAAAATTGCCAAAAATCACTATTTTGCATTGTTTTTTTCCATCAAAACTGATTTCAAAGTGCTGCAACTTCTCAATGAATTGAGATAGAGTAAAAGGCTTTTCAGCGTCGGTTACTAGTTACCCTAAGATCGACCTGAGGCCATTTTTAGCCTGTCACATGTCCAAAATTTTCTTGGCGATGAGGGGGACTGTCCGCCCCCCCTTCAAACCCCCCAAACAGAAGGGGGCACATACCCCTTCTGGCAACCCCCTGATGTAACATTTGGATGGGGGACTGAGCCGAAAAAGTGGTCACTTTTTTTAACAACATTTCTCAAACGAAAACCAGTGTTTGGGGCCTAAATAGGGCATTTTTTCACTGTTTGAGGCCAAAAAAAAGGGGGGGGGGCAAAAAGCCGTCGAAACACGCTTATATGAGGGAAAAGGTTAACATGGAAACTATTTGCTAAGGATAAACAAGAAATATAATCAAAATTATTTTGAAAACAGATAGTAAGTGCAATTCTTTACCTGATTTGAATTTAATGCATTGCTAAGCTTTTTTCATTTTTGGCTCATTTTGCTTAATAAAAATGATAATTCTGGTGTGGGGATGATCAGAAAGTTTGCACAAAAGTAATTGGTTCAGACCTGCTTCAAATGGTACACAAATCTCAGAAATATATTTCAGCCATGTCAATAGCAAAAAATCTCAGTGGGGTCCCTTTAAAAAAATAATTTTACATCAAATAAGTTTACCTGTTAGTCTGGTTTTGACACATACATGTAATTCAACACTTTTCAAGTAATATCTCTCAACGTTTGTTCGATCTTACCAGCTTTACAGTAATAAACAATTTCTCCTCAAGTAAGCAACTTCAATTTTTAGGTCATATCACAATATTCTTTCCATCTATCCTGCCTTACAGTAATTACTAATTTCTCATAAAGTAAGCAACTTCTAATGCCACATATTTCTGTATCAGAGAAGTGAAACATATGACCATTCACTTTATACCTGAGATCAATTTTTACATTGGATTAGATAAAACTGCATGTTGTATAAATATTAATCAACCAATTATTGCTTAGTACTGTCACTGGGCATAGATACATATCATTAGCTTTAATATGTTCCATTCTCTTAAATTGTTGGGAATTGGTATTTTGACCTATTATAGCATGTTATGTAAAGTGACAATGGCAAAATTTATCTGCTTTTTGGCCACCAGCCCATGCAAAATTATAATACACAACATATTTCAGCCCATGCAAAATTATAATACACAACATATTTATAGAGTAAGTGATGTCACATGCTTACGTTAACTTCATTTCTAACATTATTTCATATTAATAAATAATAGCAATTGGTCGAAATCACAATGCATTTTGTATGGTCACTACAAATCCCGTCAACCACTTTCTTTCATGATAATGCATGTTTGTAACAGCCATTTTGATTGGATAACTGTGACATTTACATTATTTACATATCCAAATGCTGCAAGTTTATTAATTTTCACTTTTACTTCAAAGAAAACTTTTGGGCACTATTATGAAATTGTCACAAAGAATTTTTTTCTTTGGACAGCTTATATGGCTGTAAAAATATATGGTTGTTTGTAATATAATCCTTGCCTATGGTTATATAAACTTAGAACTGTTATATAAACTTAGAACTGGACCATGTAATATAACTAATTATATAATACTGCACATAAGTTATCTTGCTTTTCTTTCAAAAATCATGACATTTATAAAGTTTTTTATAATACTGCAAGTTCCTAATGTTGCTTTTCATTGGATAATCGTGAAGTTTATATAGTTTTATATACACGGCTGCTGACGATTCATGAAGATATCTTACTTTTTCTCTAAAAATGATGCTTGCTGTTAAAAAGATTGTTGACAGGTTATATGACCGTATTTAAACAGCTGTTTGCAATATAACCCTTGCCTAGGGACTCAGGTTATATTTACAAATAACCGTTTATATAGGGCCATAATTAAAACATGTCAACAATCTTTATAACTAATAATATACACTGAAGCTGTCAATTTATGAATCTATTTCAAGTTCCGTCATGTCATAAAAACTTAGTGAAGTCCCTTTGATATGCAAAAAACAACAACATTCAAGTTTCACAAAGAATGGCAACCAATTACTGAATAAACCTAACAATCGAAACTAAGCATTAAAAAAATTATCAAAAAATAAAGGCTAATTTTAGATTTAACAATAAAAAGGCCCCGATAAATTGAGAACAAACTTAACCAGCACCAGTTATTTATATATAACCAACATATAATGTATATAATATAAACAAATTGTAAATATATATATATAAAACATCATCAAGAGAATAAATCTGTTAAATCGACGCCCACAGCTCTATCAATCTGCTCTAAATAACGGCTCTCCATGGGTAGAGAGAATCTCCTCACATTAGGTAAACTATCACACTGAAAATATAAACAAATATCATTGTTAAACAGATATCTTAAATACTGCGTATATATTGTCACTTTATTTTGTATTATAAGGGAAAATGAAACTAGAATATGAAAAGATACCAACTTAAACAAGAGCTGTCCGGAAAACAGGGCACTAGACTATTCTCAATGCTTGACAGTAAGGAAATGAGTTATAAATATAGATACACTTTTTGTGTTTTAATATGCAAACATTCATAATATACCAGTTCTTATTTATAACAATATAGCTGGTACATTCATTCCTGTCTCAAAATTCATCATTTAATGTTTATAAAAACACCAAAACTTACATTAGAAAATGAGGTATTGGTCCTTGCATCAACTATAGGCGGAGAATCTGCTTCTGTCTTTGAACTGACATCTGGCTTTATAAAATCTTCCCATGGTTTTGTACGAAATACTTGGTTAATTGGGAAGATATGACCTTCTGTGTTGAATAAATATTTTGAAGCTTCTTTATTTAAATGATTATCTTTGTCAAATAACTGAAATAGAAAAAGTCAATTTATTTAAACATGTATAACATTCAATATAAAATATATGGTATTGTATTCATTTTCATTTCAGTTTACTGACATTTTTTTCAAACACCTGGTTTTTTTGATTGTTCAAAAATGTCTTGTTTACTTGTTTATTTGTTTTTCTGTTGTTTTTTATGCTAATTTTAACATGTTTTGTGGTCATATATCTGCAGTTGATCATCCTTATAGCTTTTCTGGATAATTTATCAGTAATTACGAATTTCCCCGCAAGTGACCAACAACTTCTCCCTGATGATTTATGAATCAGCCATTTAACAAATGACCATAATAGATTCTATTTCCCAGATTAATTATTACAGAGAAATTACACCTTGTCTGAGAATCAAATTAACGATTGGCGATGACCCCTAGATTACAAATCCAATGTTCTCTACAGTGTGCTAAGCAGACCTAGGGTGCAAGGTGAATACATTGTTAATGTTATGTCACAATAATGTTATGTGACAGCTCTCCAGCTTCACTGATACATGAAGAACCAACATGCTCCCTTGAGTAGTATTTCAAGCACAGAGTGGAAGAACATGTGGTAAATCCCCAGACGTTTCACAAACAAGTTGGTTAGCATACTCAAGTGGCTGAAAAATCTCACAGCATTAAAGGGTCTAGATAGAATTATAAGAAATTGTTCTTTCAATATACATGTAAATGAAAAAAGAATAAAAGACACCTAAATATCATAACCTTGTGATGTACACATTTATTTATACAAATCATTCATCAAGGAACATAAAAACATGTTTGGAAACAAGCAAAACAAAAACAATATGTAGAGCTGACAAGGGTACTATTCTCAGGCAAGTTGAATCTATAAACATTCATAAAAAATTGAGCTAAAAATAATAAATATAAATATGAAGAAAGGTATATAATAATATATATAGGTATACTGAACTTTACAAATATTACCAAAGTCATACTCACTAGATATAAATATTTACAAGTTTCACTGAGAAAGAAACTTTCCATCCTATCCTCTAGTTCTTTGGTATTCACATCATGGATTGTCCCATATCCACACCTATACAATAAATTAAGAAAAGATTTCTTTAGCTTTTACTGTATCACAATAGTCAAAATTATGGAAAAGATCACAAACAAACAATTGAATTTACGGCAGCAGATCCACATTTTTAATTTATAACAACTACATTGTATATTTGCCAAAGGCAAACGTTTCTGCTGAATTCCAACATACATTTACTTTGAACTAGAACTGAATTGAATGAACAGATTTGAATGAGAAATAAATTGTAAGTATTCAATTAAGCATAAATAATTTTCTTTAAATACTTATAATTAAATGTATTCTATTTGAAATGAGTATAAATAAACTAACAGTTTTAAGCTACTATCCAATACATCTTAAAATTTTTGGAAGAAAAAAATTCCTAAAAATCAAAATTTTACCATACATTTAAATAAAAGCCAATTATTTATATGTGTCATGCTCACATAAATGGTGGAGATTATAAAGTGTTCGAGCACCACACTTAATGCTCTATTTCCATTCATTCCAGACAGGCCCTTGAATGGTTAAATGCCAAAATCTTGCCTTTTTCACCCTCCATGATGCACTTTAAAATGGCTATTTCATCTCCTCACAACAATTTCAATACAATCATGAATGAACAATGTAAAAATCGCCGTAAGAAGCAATATATTTCAACTTTGTGATCATGATTTCTATCAAGTATCTAGACTAAGAAGTACTGCTTCAACACTGTTGTGAGTTAAATCCCACAGAAATACCGCAAATTAAAATTAGGCACTTTCATCCTGCTATTATTATAAACAGTTGCAAATTTTATCTTATATTTGGGTAAGTAACTCTTAGGAGGAATAAAACGAAATCTATACATACTCAGCTTTGGCATGCTCATTAATGCTGTTGTATATATCACGTCCAACGTGCAAGTAGAATGGATTTTTTGTGGCTTGATAGAGGAAATATGTAGACTCCACAAGTTCTGGCCTCAGTGGATAAAACAGAATATCCGGCGCTCTCAGATTCCAGTTGTAACGTTCCGGCAAAGACTCATACTTCCGCCATATTGCATAGTAGATAGCATGTGAGCAAATAGCTTCTTCAATATCTCCATGTAACACCTACAGAAGAAAATGATTGAAATACAGTGATTTCATCAAGAAAAGTTTTAATTAGAACTATCGTTGTGATGAAATTTCCAGACTGTTGAATTCTATCTTGAAAATGAATGTCATCTTAAGGTCAAGGTCATATTATAAAATATTTATATGAAGCTCTCATCCAAAAATATGTTGTGTATGAAATGAAAGCCAAGCTTATAGTTGTGTATGAAATGAAAGCCAAGCTTATAAAATTGAGTGTTACGACTATGGTTAACATTATCTGCAGAGGGACAAACTGACAACAGAAATGTTGTAATCTCTCTAATGAAACAGAAAGAGAGCATAAAAAACAAAATGATAGTGTATTTCACGAAAAAAATTGAAATTAGGTAAAATCACAAAGAAAGTAAAATAAGACATAAATTATCGGACCTACCTGTACACCAGACCAGGCAGCTTGTAAGGCATCTATCCAGTGATTGGCTGTATCCCCTGATGACATATGAACATTGACATATATTGGTGCATTACCGTCTCCTCTATTGCATTTTAATCTCCTGAAAAAACAAGTAATACATCAATCAACTACAAACCAAACTGTATACACCTTGCGCTAATCTGCTGGAATCAGGGTCAGAGGTCATAAAGAAATGTTCTATGCTCATATCTGAAGTATTTGATTAGTGAGAAATGAACATAGACTGTACACTGACCAATGAATATCCCCAAGATTTGTAAGACAGAATAAAGGATAAAAATCTGGAAATAAAGTGATCCCTCGGAAGCATTAATCTCAACAAAATTACAAGAGAATTGCAGACTTGGTTTGATTGAGTCTGTACATGAGGGATACTGAATATGTGCAACATCCCCCACGCCCCCTAGCACTGGCTTGAGCGGTACTCAATTCTAAACACTCAATAGTGCTGGCATCAATGATCCCGAAGGACCATGGCATAAGACCAGGATAAGAAATATTAAAATATAATAGGATTTATATAATTTTTCTATTGAAGCGTCCCTGTTGATCTATGTAAGTTTTTTAAATTATATATTTTTAGACATCTGAACCTCAGTGGAGCCCCTTTAAGGTTTAACAAAGAAATCTATTCCTGTAAACTGATGAGTATGAACAAAGAACACCATTACTATAGTATTCTACCAAAAACGTTAATGTGAAGACTAATAATAAATGACTTACCCACGCCTCATATGAAATTTAATGGATTCATAGAATTCATTGAAAAGCCTGAGGTCTTCTTTATCACCAAATAATATATAACTCTGCAAAATAAACATATTTGAATGAGTTTAATCTATAACAGTACAATGAAGTTTGTTTATCATATAATATAGATAAATGGAGGTAGCTTTACAACTATCTTAATCTAAACAAAAATATCCAATCTATATGAATGTTAACATAATGATATTTTTTACTTAAACATCTTAATATGATATAACATGTTCATGTAAATTGTATTTATAATATCTAGAATTGCATACAGTAACAATTCTGTGTTTATTGCCTGGCATTCATGATGTCCTACCAGTCCAATAGCATTTGATCAACTGACATTTTTATTAAATAAAGTTAGCTGGTGAATTCAAAGAGGCTCACTGCCATGATCCGACGGGTAAACTACCAACACCTATCTTTGGGTCATCAATATTTCATGGACTGGGTCTAAGTCATACCAGCACTGCCAAGATGTTATGATGTCTTTCCAGTTTTTTTCTGAGAGAGTGAGACCTCAGTTGCAACATAGTTCATAATTTTCAGGCACAAGCAGGCACCTTAATAGAACTACAAACTTTCTGTAAGCTAGCTGGATAGCTTCCTAACATGAAAGGTGAGATTGGAAACCACAGCAGTGAGGGACAAATACATGAAATTCATAGCAAATCCTTACCATTTCACCACTTCCCCGGCACCCTCTTTTAGCCTCAAGTCTGCTGGCGGCAACTAATTTTACCTATGTGACCAGTGCAGACCAAGATCAGCAAGAACACCTGTGTGGTCTGATCATGGTCTGCACTGATAGCTATTCAGTCGATATATATTTTGAAATTTTCCCTTAAACTGATAACTGGTTTTGTCTTAATATTAAGATGGATAATTTCCGTTTAAGATATTTAGGGTGGTAAGGATTAATATTGATTAATACTAAACCATGCCACAAAAATTCCAAGTCAAAAGTTTGAATCTAAAAATCATACCTTGAGCATGTATTCAAAGAATGAGTCCAACCCAGCACCGAGTCCACTCATTTTACCAACCCACTCTCCGGTCTGTATATTAATTACATTTCCTATCAAATGGAACAGTTTAGTATATAAAACATTTCAATTTTTATTATACAGAAATTAATGAAAACTCATCAAAGAATAGCTAAAATTAATGTAAAGATAGCAAAAACTTCATGTTAATATAGATAAATTTCATATAGTGATAGCAAAAATTTCAAGGAAATATAGCTAAATTATGACATGTTTTACCTAAAATCCATGTAAAGATAGCTAAAATTCATGTAACTATGAATGAAATTTATATCATAGCTATTGCGAATATGACTATAGCTTAAAAAATTACTAAAATTTTATCAATGTTTTTTTCTATTCATACCAAAAATTTTAAATGACTTCTTTAGGAAACTTAACAATTACAATAATCATTTGAATAAAATCTTTGACAATATAACACTATAAATGTATTGAAAGTTTATGCTCAAACTTAACAAAAAAAATATTATTTTGAAAATTTATTGATAACTCACCAATTAACCCTGTAACATTGGATTTATAGTTCAATATCTGTCTGACAGCTTTCCTAGCCGCTGACTCAAATGTTGGATCTCCAATAAGACGTGACAGGATCCCAAACTCGAGAACCAGGGTACCAGCCCCAGCTGTACAAGTTTCATTTATACAATCACTTGGAACTCCTTTTTGTAAATTGACCTAAAACATTGGAATGATATTAAAGCATGTTACATAGCATAAACAATTTTCAGCGATTGAAGTCAGAACTATCAACAAAAATGTTTAATACAGGATTCTAACGTTTTCCTTTAAGTTTTTTGCAAAAATTATTATTTCCCCCCAAATTTAAAATTTAATTTCCTCTTACAGTTAAAAAATAGCCCTTGCATTTCAGTAAAATTTCAATTTACTTTACATTGAACTTACAGACAAAATAAAGTGCATGTAAACAAAACTCTTATAAAGGCAGTGCGATTTTAAATGTATGTTTTTCTTGTAGTTTAATATGAGATTATATATTGTGAGACAACAACATTCAAAGAGAAACAAAATAAAAGAAATATTACCCTTGGAAATGGTATTCCTGTGGCAGAATTATCAAAGGCAATAATAAGTCTAGAGGCAAGGTCATGGGCAAGATCTAACAGTTCCCCGCTGTACTCAGATGGAACAATGTCACCAAATGGCTGGTCAGGGTCAATAATCAACAGATGAGCAGATAGTAATCCAGCAAGAACTCTGAAATAAAGAAATCTCATATATACATGTATATTTAATCATGACTTTGCTAATTTTGACTTTTAACAAAGTTAGAAATTGTCGTAAACTAATTTCTTGGATTTACTAAAGGAACAGTATGGTCTTAAATTGGTTATATTGATATGGGCCATTGGCTGTATACAATGTGTCAATACATATAATTATCAGTTCCATGCTAATTTAATAATTGTTTTTACAAAACAGTGAATTTATCTAAGATGTTATGAAAAAATTAAAGTTTCAACATTAAGCAAGTGACAAAAATAATATTGGAATGTATCCTTGTTTATTTTATATGAAAACAAACATTTAAGGATACTTAAATTATTAAATTAAAAAATGTTGTAATCATTCAAGCATTCATAACTTTCAGCAGGAATTTTTCCAAATGCCATTGAAAGACATACCTTATTGTTGCTTCAAAAACTTGGACTGTTGTATTCTGGAAAGTAAGGTTCTCTGATAGTAAACCTACAGCTCGTTTAAATTCTGTATTGTTCCCCATTATCTGAAATGTTTATGAATACACTTATAGTTTCTAATGAAAACATGTGATTATATCCAAAAGTATGATAAATGATAAGATTTATTGGATATTACCTTCCAACTTTTCACAGGAAGTAATTGTAGTGTGGTTATAAATTGTATATTTTTCAAGGTTCCCTTTATTTTTTCTATTTGAATTGCAGTATCAAATGGACAAAAAGCAAACAGATGAAATATCAGCTTCTTAGAAGTTCGAATATTTTGTTATAATTCAAAGAGAAACATTGATTCAATATAATTCTTGTAAATAACTTAAACCTTCAATAAACATTAAAACAATAAAGGCAACAAATCAACATTCTCAAAAGAAAGTTTGGCCTTAGAAAAACACTAGCAACTTCATTTTGTCTGCATAGAAGAAATAAAGATGAATACAAATTCCTTACTCATTTTGCTTAAGAAGTTAAGTTAATGTAGTTTCATATATCAGAGCACAGTCACCTTATCATAATGTTTTGTTGGCTTATCTCCAATTATACATGCTTTTTTATTTGATTTTTTTTCTGAGTATAGATTTGAAAATAACAAATAAATCAAATGAGTTACTCAGTATACAATGATAACTTTTCCTACCACTAAAGTGTCCAATGTATCCACCAATGTCAAACTATAATCTCCAAGTACATCATTGATGTTGATATTTAAACTGCCAAAAAAAAATTTTTTCATGTCACATTATTGTCATGTGTAATGTATTATAGTTTTTATAATATCATCATAATTGTTTATTGTCACAACAACATTGATAACATTTAAAATTATAATTTTTACAATCTATATTAGCATAAATTCAATTTCTAATAAGTACATGTAATTAATTTAATTTCTATTACATTCATATCAGATTAAAAGATTATATATATTTTTCAAAGGCCCAATTTTGACAATCGAGCAAATATAGCTGTTAAATATGAATGATATCATTTAAAGTAAAAATAATTCAAATAACAACAAAGTGAAAGTTGAAGCAGATAAACTTACGGGTTGTCATGATCTGGACCTCTTCCTGTACAATGAATTGGATCAAGTTCATCTTTAGGATAGGCATGTTTCATGTAGTTGTCATATCCAAAATAAAACATGTCCTTAATACCAGAGAGTGTTTCAATTCGCTCCTTCTCGGAAAAGTAACCATACTTGCCTTCATAGGGTTCCCAGATGTTCTTAAAATAACTCTCATTACTTGTCGTGTGTAGTGTACACACTGTTATAATTAATACAACAATTCTAAACATAATACTCCCACATTTTAGCAGGAGTACAAAAGTTTGATAACTTTAATTTGAAAGTTATAACCAACTAAGGTAGTCTACTACTATATTAAACAGGAAGTGCCGAAGGACATCCTATGTATTCTTACACTGCATTAATATAGTTCTACTAGTTTTTCGAATCAGACATTTGAAGGAGGCGTTGAAAATAAATCAATATTATTTCATCATATAGGACTAATAAGTTAAATCGTTAAAACTTTTTTCAAACTATTACAAAGGCTACATACTTGTTTGATATTATTGCGCTTACAGCTTGCTTTGGCCGTGGGAATTCCCTATGACTAACCAATCAGATACATCGATGTGTGGCTGGATGGAATACCGGAACCAGTATGTCCAAATTTTGCGGGAGTTTTTGACAGCTATGGCAGACAATGTGCACTGTTTTGAAGAATATGATGATGGTGTGATTTTCAAGGTAACAGCATATCATAAGATGCTTAATAAAACACAGTTTTATGTGAATACTTGCATATCTTAACTTTTGATGATTGTAAATATACAACAGATATGCAAAAGTTACAATTATTTTTCTACACTGTTTTCAGCTGTGTTTTAATATGTTAATTTTGGTCATTTATATGTTATACTAATGCTATGATGGGTGGTTACAAAATATCTTTAAGTTATAGTAATATTTACAAATGATACAGTGTACAGATAGCAGGCTTAGCACCACAATTTAATTCATATTTTTTATATTTTTATTACATTAAATAATATGCTTTACTGAATTATTAAACTGTAGCCCAAAAAATTGTACACCAGGGCTTTCTATTATATAGACGATGGTCACCCTTCAGGTAAAGACCAACATCAATCTTATATCAGGTTGTTAAATTGGTTGGTCGAAATATTGAGACTAGCTTAAAACTGATAAATGTATATCGATAGCAGGATTTACCTGTCCTTAAAGATAAGTATCATTTATCAATTAGTATAGAGCAAAACCATAAGGCACTTGTCTCAACTAATGAATCAATTTTATTTTGTCATTAGCTTCCAAATAAATTACAAACACAGTTTCAAACCACTTGCCCCTCACGACTGTGGGTTCGAATCCCGAGAGGGACTTGGATTCTTTCATGTGAAGAAGCTATCCAGCTAGCTTACGGAACGTCGGTGGTTCTACTCAGGTGCCCGTTCGTGCCTGAAATAATGCACAGAAGGGCACCTGAGGTCTTCCTCCACCAGTAAAGCTGGAACATTGGCAAATGACCTATACTGTGTTGAATGGTGTGACGTAAAACCTAAAACAAACAAACACAGTTTGACTAATATTTGAATTTCGTATCATCACCTTACATGAAATCTAGTTGACTGATCTTTGAGCAAATTTAATAATTCAACCCAGGCCATTTTTCAGTGAGTTTAAAAACACATTCCAAAAATATATAGAATGAATTATTGCTTATGGACGATAAATGTATATAAAACATGAGCAGATGTTTCAAAGAAATGAAAATTAAGTGGTTTATTTACCAATATGATTGTAACCTTATAAATATTAAGTATAATATAATCAATGATATCATTAACTTCTGCTAAAACATCAACATTGATTACTACTGATAAAAAAAAAAAGAAATTATCCTCGGTGCACCGCAGGTAAACAAATTGATCATGGATACTAAGCTTATAATTATTGCTGTTCAAATTAGCAGTATTTATTTGTAAAAGATTTTTGCTGTATGTAACAGGGATCCCCGTTGTATGCAAGTCTTCTACAGAGTGGCTCATTGGCTGAAGAGTTAGAGGTAGAACAAGCTGGAATTGACATCAACACAAACAGTCAGACATCTATACGTCAACATGAGCAACTAAATACTAAGGTATTAATTATCATATTTACTGACCTGAAATTCATGATCTTTGAGTACTTGTCACTGCAAATAATTTTCCATCAGCTGAAAGAATTAAATTTAAACCTTGACCAAGAGTTCTTTTTAAGTATTTAACCCTGTGACAAAATTAATGTCATTTGCTCCCAACCATTGTATCAATGATTCATGTAAAAAAAACTCAGATATTTGCAGAAGAACATTTTTCTGCTGAACACAAGTAGTGTTTTAATATTGTTCAATTGGTTCAAAACCCAGTGGAACAGAAAATGGCAGGAGACTAATGTTATTGTTTAATATTAAGGATAAAAAATAGATATTATTGTCTGTCACTAAGGTGATACATTGCAATAAACTATACATCCAATTAAACTTCACTAAAAATAGATTTTAAACTGTATAATAATGTATTAATTTGACTTGGGATATTTTTATTTGTTACAGAAAAAGAAATGGGACTTAAAGTTAGCTTGCTTACAAGAAACCTGGAAGATTGTCCTCAAAGGACTATTGTCATGGTTTCTACCAGATCTCTCTCCTATTGTAAGTTAAACGTTTCATATTCAACTTTATTTCATTCAATATGCTAGTATATAGACATCTATTAACTTACTTATCTCTTTAGGGGCGTCTGTGGCTGAGTGGTTGAGGTCATTGATTTCACAACATTTGCCTTACACTGTTGTGTGTTTAAATCCTGACTGGGACTTTGACTTTTTCATGTGAACACAAGTGGTTCTACTTAGGTCTAAGGTGATCCATATCAAACAGAAATATATATCAACAATAATAAGCATAGCGATTATATTATATTGAATAAATATTCTAAACAGTATGGCTGAAAATAAATTAAATATTGATTAATAATGATATTTTGTAAATATTTTATTGGATTGTATTTTTGTAGTACTACACTCATCATGATACTGTCATTAAATGTTTGTCCGGAAGTTCATGTCTCGAGGAGGATGACCAAGATTTTCTTCATTTCTACATCACATCATCAAAAGACGGCAAAGATAGTATAACAACGTCCAGTAGGATTTCAAAATTGTAGGTTATTATGATCAATTTATATATTTTTCTTCCAAATTTCTCTCATTGTATCACAGTTTATAGTTCATAAATAGTTTATGATCAATATATGTATTTTTCTTGAGATTTTCTTTTATTGTATGACATTTTATAGTCCATTGAGAGTTTATGATCAATATATGTATTTTTCTTCAGAGTTTCTTTTATTGTATAACAATTTATAGTTCATAGATAGTTTGAAGATATGTTTCAGTATTTCTAACAATTTCATTTTGATGATCTTTTCTTTAATATATTGCTTTTATTTTGTTTCTTATATGACATGATGACCGCATAATAATGTCATGATGTCATAAAATGCATATTTTATGCACTGAAACTTTATCCTACAATTCAGTCATACTCTCTTGAGTGTGAAATTGTATATTCTAAAATGTTTTATCTGATTTAGAAGAACAGTATATTCATTTTTTATAGTATGTGCACTTAAAGTAAGCAATTGTACATTTGTTATGTATTTATATAATTGTAAATGGAAATCTCATTGATATTCTATTTTTCAGGGCATTTTACACCATTCCCTGTCTCCTATCTATTTCTGTCTACCAGTTCATGACCTTTGATGTTGCTAGGCAACCATTTCCATGGAGATTAGTGTTGTTATCTACCGTCACACCAATATTGATTCTTGAAATTTTCAAAGAAGCCAGAAGATATAAACATAGAAAAATATGCAAAGATAAGGTTCTGTTGTATAATGATTTGATCAAAAGAAATGAGAAACTAGCTAACATGGTGAAGAAATGTTTAAGGCTTATCCAAGAAACTGAGCTGATTTCCCGAGGTTTTACACTGTAAGTAAACTTTAATTGATGCTTCAACTTTAAAGGTTTTTATATATACATGTATATAAGCAATAACTGATATGAACCAATATTTTATCAGTTCTTTCACTACAGGTAGGGTTCGAATGAGGAATATATTAAATTTACTAATGCATAGTATAAATATTTAATGTCTCTGATTCAAAACATCTAGGCTTGCTGATGTAGTTTCATCGCCTTCCTCACCTGCAGCCTCACCCTTAACCTCCATGCCTTCACCCTCTTCTTCATCACCTTCCTGTGCACTTCCTTCTTCCGCCTCTTTCTTTCTATCTTTCATTGCAACATTTATTATCTATAGAATACTTATCAACAATGTAAAGGCTTGCTTTCCATACATTTCCTATTGCCTTTAAACCACTTGCCCCTCATGACTGTGGGTTTGGCTCCCATTGGGAACTTTGGATTCTTACATGTGGTGAAGCTACATTGTATCCAGATAACTTACTAAATACTTCTGATTATACTCAGGTGCACGCTTGTGTCTGACATAATGGACAGAGGGGCGCCTGAGGTCATTATCCGCCAATAAAGCTAGAAAGTTGCCATATGACTATTACATTGTTGTCAGACCTTATAACAAGAGTATTAAAGGTTGTTTTAAAATTGATAGAAACAGCAAGATTGTTACACTTAAGTCTACTTACAGGAAAGTATGATATACAGACATATATAACAATGTTTCTTTCATGTCTTATTGTAGGGTGAGTCAAAGGAATCCCCTGTCTAGATTGGAGGGAGGTCAGAAAGATACTGTTGCTAGGCAATGCCCTGTGTTGAGGAAACTTGTGTTTACTGCTGCTAGGGAAGCTGTTCTGCTCTTCAGAAGTGAAACAAAAAAGCTGTTTGACTTGTATCTTTTTCACATATTGTTTTTTCATGTAGATTCTATAATAATTATGTCATATTCCTGCCCCCACACACACAAAAATGATTTTCAACTTTTTTAGTAAATTTACATATGTATGTCACCTATATTTGTTATCTCATTGGTTTAAACTTTAAAAAAAATGTTTTTCCTTAACACTAGCAAGTTATCCTTTAAGTAAGGAATTGGATATTCAAGGTAGCTATTTAGCATATGAACCTATACAGAGTTATGGCCCCTGTCTACAAACAGATATTGAAGATATGGATACACTGCAGTCAGTAACAGATGGATTTTCTATATCAGCATTAAAGGTAAGGTAATATGCTTATCTGGTGTAATTTTCAACAGAATGATGGGAGCTTTTTGCTGGGTTGGATTTTAGGAGGGGTGTTAGGTAAGACTTTACTCATGCTGTTAAGATCAAAATATTATTGGGACAAGATTAAATGGTGCTGGACAACTTTAAATGATGTTTTCTTTTAGCATAAGCTAAGGGCCTGAATAGCTCAGTTATTGAGGTCCAAGATTAAAAAAAATGTGGTATTTATAGCTGAATTATTGTTATTGAATTACAAAAATGTTGCTCTAAAGTCAGTGTGATTAACTTTTACCAACAGTATACAGCCAGGCCAAACTGCACATCCAAGCAGTCTAACCAGTCTCTATACTGTTAGCTGACAAATTTTAGACTTTCATCTTGATATCCCTTAGAAATGATAATGGACAGTTCCAAAAATTGAAAGCTGGAAAAATCCATTTAAGAATTCTGCAGGATGAGAGCTAATGCAACAAGAACATTATGTTATGCATTTTGATAGGTTTCATATCACTTTATGTATATTGCATTACCAATGCTTAATATACAATGTGCATTGTATTTTTTTATAACTTATTAACAAATACATACATTATTGTAGGGTATGACTCATTTGCTGTCCCTCCATCAATCAGAATTCATCAAAGCTCTTATTCTTGTGAAGCAAGAAAAGTTCCAAAAAGGTAGGTCAATTATAATTTGTGGGGTTTTTTTTCCATGCTGGCTTCTGTGTTGGCATTGAGGTTGACATTTGCCATTGTGATAAAGTTCTTGTCTGTTGCTTCTGGTAACAACCCTGTTTATAACATGAAATTTTGATCTGTAAAAGATGTCAGAAATAAAAAGTATACAATATATACATACATGTATATAAAATTATTGTTATTGAAAAGAATTAATAATGAATATTAAGTGTTTATGAATATGAGGAGGATGTGATAAAATTGCTCAATATTTTGTCAATATTTTATAATAATTATATTAATCTTGGTGAAAGTATGGCTTTAATTTCAATTAAAGCCATGGTGAAAGTTACTGTTCTAGAACGTTAGGCTGCTGCGGGCAACAGACTATACCCATGCAAGTATTATGCAGAACAAGCTTAGTGAGCACATCATGCCATCTGCTTATGGTCGACACTGTTTGCTGTGAATATTTTGAAACCTTCCCGAAAAGTGATGAATGGTTTAGTCCAGATTAAAAGATGGACAAGTCCATTTGAGATATTTAGTGTGGAAAGGGTTTAAATTATTATTGATTGTCAAAAGTATGTAGTAGGAATGAGAATCTGTAGTGTTGAAGAGGAAGATATCATTAACAGCCTTGCAGCAAGTTTGGAGGAATTGACTGTATCACTACAAAAGTCACATGACTACCATAGCTGTGCTTGGATGACTAGGGAATCAGTCTCAAGAATAACTAGGACACAGTCAAATGTTGAAGATATCTACATTGCTGTACACAGTCTTGATCTACATTTACAGGCAGCACTTACACGGTAACATATTTAATAGATGAAATTTTTGTTTTGAATATGCATGTACAGATAAACTTGTCTTCTAAAACCATGTTTTGGAAATGGAATCTTTGTTGAAAGGTGGTATATATTGATGAAGTACATGTTAATTAAAAATATTTTGTTTGAATAATATGAAAAAGAGTGGACCAACTTATGGGTTATCCACATCTGGCCTTTTAAGAAGATGGTATTTTTGCTCAGATTTTCAGGTTACTTCTGATAGGACATTTACAGAAGAAATATCAGACTCTTTCTAAACCAATGCTTTTGTTTAAAAAGTTTATCAAACGTTTATAAAAAAATCATTTTTTGTGCCTAATCTAGATTTAAACAAATATGAGATATATTTTTATGCCATAACAAAATTGATTTTTTATGCTCCATGTAGAGTAAAGAGTCTAAGTGATCATATCCAAACCATGCCTGATGCTGGTCTGTCAAATATGAACCTGGATGACCTTATAGACCAGATGCAGCCAATCAGAGCTGAGCTTGATTCATGCAAAGGATGCTGGGAAGAGGGTGTTAGCAGGATTGAGAAATGTGCTGGGAAAAACAGTCAGAGAGGTACAGTAGTGTTTCTCAATATAGTTTTTAAAATGTTTGATTCACTATTATTTATGTCATAAAAATGTACCATAATTTCTGATAACAACAATGTATAAAGGAGTCAGGACTGTATATATACACATTTACTCAGGCCCTTGACAATAATCTTTCTCCTCCCAAAAAGGAGGGCTTATGTAAATTATTGCTAGGATGTGCCATTGCTATTTGGGAGATTTTATCTGTTACCCCATTTGTTCAATTCAGGTGAGGGAAATAGCCTTAATTGGGCCTCATAATCCGGAATACTTCCTCCCTTCTGAAGTAGTTTTAAATTTTGACTGGCATTTAAAGCGAAAATATTTGTTTTGAATGTGTGTTTTGGCACAGATTTATATTACTAATATAAATCCGTGGTTTTGGTTATGGTATTTTATGACATTTTTTTCCAAATTCTTTACTTCATTTACATTAAATTTATGTTACACAGCTATGAACAAATATTATATTATTACTGAATTTTATATTGCTTTAAATTTTGTAGTTGGGACTCAGTCAGAAGCAACATGTCAAGCTGATGTTGATAAAACACAGGACACTGATACACCTTCTAAACCATTCGAGGATTATATAATAGAAGATCAGGTAAAAATTGATTTGATAAAAATTTATATTATCTTTTACAGTAAAACTTGTTTTAAAGACCAGTAACAATATGTATGTAATTGTTATTATCGTGAAAAGTGATCTTTGTCATAGGTTTTAGGGTAATTTCATCAGGATATCTAAATTTGACATGTAAAACATTATTGGATGGTAAGATAATGACTTTTATGACACATTGTTTGTCTGAGTATTACATACATGTATAGCTTTTACATTGTAGGAGATGTTTATATACATTTCTGTATTATATATGATATTAAACTGCACTTTCCATAGACTTTCTGTTAATTTTCTCAAAGTCTGATAATTATTAAGTACAAAATAGATATTATAAATCTTGTATGTCTCGTATTTTGTTGCAATCATTTTGATTCTGAACTATATGGGATATTAAACTGCACTTTCCATAGACTTTCTGTTAATTTTCTCAAAGTCTGATAATTATTAAGTACAAAATAGATATTATAAATCTTGTATGTCTCGTATTTTGTTGCAATCATTTTGATTCTGAACTATATGGGATATTAAACTGCACTTTCCATAGACTTTCTGTTAATTTTCTCAAAGTCTGATAATTATTAAATACAAAATAGATATCATAAATCTTGTATGTCTCGTATTTTGTTGCAATCATTTTGATTCTGAAACTATTAGCCCAGAGCATCAGCGAAACTGCTTGTGTGAAAGTTTGCGTACCACCTCAAATATTTTCAAAGCCCATAGATATACCGCTTTGAAACTTTGCACACTTGTTCACCATCATGCCCCCAACCTGCACACAGGAGGAGGTAACTCTATCGAGCTATTTTTACAATGTTATGCCACCTTACTATCAAGGATTGAGAAAAGTTGTGCATGCTGTCCTACTGGCAGCTGTTGTTTAATTTATTCTGAATAGTTTGCTTACCTTACATTATATATATCATACTGTTCTCTGATTGGTCAGCGTATGTTTAAAATGTTTAATGTCAATATATTACAGGTGTTTCAAGGTTACACTGACCCTGATGAGATCTTAGCTGACTATGAATGGGAAAAACCTTTAACAGCAGAAGAAAAGGTAACCACAATTTATTGCACAGTTTGTGTAAAATGTTTTGCAGTTTATGCTGAATGACTTAAATATCCTACCCCATTTATAATATGGTCCAGCTCAAACAATTTATATGGCATTCCTTTCCTATATTTATTGACTAAACAAATTATGCAATTGTCTTTAAATTTAAAGCTGTACATTTCTTAAATTTAAATGAAATGACATTTAAGATAGATAAATAACAAACAAAATGATTCAAGAGAGTTTTATTTTCTAATTAACTTTTTTTTACTTGTTAAACAGTTTTAACTATAGACATGTGTAAAAGTGCATCAAGCTAAATATCTGCTGTCTTCAGTTTACAAAATTACTGTTTGATTTGCAAAAGATAACTCCCAAAATACCTGTATGAAAGAAATTATAACATTTAGGTTTGTTTATTTCCGTAAAAGAAAATGGTGCTTGCCAAAAATAATTGCTAAATGGTTTAAGTCATACTTAAAATGGAAGCATAATATTTTGTTCTGGAATATTTTATTCTGTTTATGTACAATATTCATGTGTGCAAAATAACAGAGATACATGTATTCTATGTTGAAACACTTTAAGGAATCTTTGGAAAAATCATAATGTTATTATTTTTTTTTAACTTTTATAAAAATATTTCCTAAGAATTAATAGCTCTATACCTTTTAAAGGAACTCCACTGAGGTCCAAATGCCTAAAAACATAATTTGAATTTCTTACATAGATCAGCTTGGGCACTTATAACAGAAAGGTATACAAATGGTAATTTAATCCTTTCCCTCATGAGCATATTGTGGAAAATGCCCGTTTTGATTGAAAAGCCTCTTGTTACAAGTTCAAACAGCTATGAAACTATGAAAAATGCTTCAATACTAATCAAACTTGGCACAAATGTTGACTGGACCATTGCCTTTGTAACGACATGCTCAGTCTTAAATTTCCTGTTACCATGGCAACGAGGGGACATCTCAAAATTGACAAAAATCACTATTTTGCCTTGATTTTTTCCATCAAAATTGATTTCAAAGTGCTGCAACTTCTTAATGGATTGAGATAGAGTCAAAGGCTTGTCAGCTTTGGTTACACTTTACCTTATGATCAACCTGGGTCATTTTTAGCCTCTCACAAGTCCAAAATTTTCTTGGCGATGAGGGGGACTGACATCTCCCTTCTGGCAACCCCCTGATATATCTTTTGGACGGGGGCCGCGCCGAAAAAGTGCTCACTTTTTTTAGCAACATTTCTCAAACGAAAACATGTATTGGGGGCCCAAATAGAACATTTTTTCACAATTTAAGGCCTAAAAGAGGGCGGGGGGGGGGGTCGAAAATGCGTTGTTTTGCGTATATATGAGGTATTAAGGAAACACATTTGAAATTGTATATATGTACTTTTCTTATCACGATTTGAGTGAAAAGCGTTGCAACTCTTTCCAGTTTTGGGTCATTTCTCACAATAAAAATAACTGTTCTTAAAAACAGAGTGAGCAAATGGTCTGAAATTGTGCAGATAAGTTATTGGTCAAGACCTTTATAAAATCGAATATTAATCTTGAAAAATTATTTCAAGTCTGTGGAGTCCCTTTAAGTTGTTATGTGCAATGATAATCATTTTTTTTATGGAATAGTTATCAAAATTACAAAACTAATACATGTATATAAAATGTTCTTTTAGGAAAAGAAGAGGAAAGAGAAAGAAGAGGCTTTAAGAATGTTATCAGAGCTTAAAAAAGTTATATCTGTGAGAGCAGTTGACACCGAGAAACGTGAAAAAGCTGCAATATTAAAAATGTATCCAGACCTTAAGTTTTCTGAATCATCCAATCCTGAAGAATCTAACATGTCAAATACTCAAATTTCCTCCAATGAAAGAGCATTAGATAGGTCATGTGATAAATCAAGTGAAGTTCCACCAAGTGGCCAAGAAGATGGGTTGTACAAGGAGAAGGATAATGAAAACAAAACTACTGTTCACAAACAAAATCACAATACGGAAAATGAAGAACTAAGTTTAGATCAAGAGTTGAATAATGTAAAAAGAGTAACTGATGAAAATTCTTTATTTGATGTACCATGTGACCAATTGAATGAGAGGGATAAGCATTCAGTAATTTCAGCTCAAGGTGTGCGAAGATTAAGGAGAAGTGATATGCTTGAAGTAAGTGACTCTGATTCTGAAGGATACCCAGAAGGTAATGAAAGAGATGAACATTATGGTGATGATGAGGATGATGATGATGAAAGAGATTGTCTCCCAAGGTTAGGTCTTCCACTAAGAGATTTGACAAGGAAAGATGAATCAGAAGGCAAAGCCCTTGGCCCTTCTTCAGATGAAATCCAAAGTTTTAGGTTACCCTTGCTTACTCTTGAAGAGAGACTTGAACATTTTTCAGGGGCTAATTTTGGTTTGACATCAGAACTTGCTGAAAAAGCAGTTGCTAAATCAAAGACCATGGGTTTGATGGAAGAGGCAACGTTTGGTGGGGATGTTTATGGAGAGTGCTCCAGTAGCAATGATGAAGATGATAATGATAATCTATATCATGATAGTCATTATGCTGATAGTGTGAATGATCATGGCAGAATAGAAGATCTTACTGAAAGATGATTTATATGTAATTTTAAAAATATAAATACAAAAAAGATTTGGTTTTGTTTAAAGTCACACAAAAATTTGATGAAACTTCCAGCTAAGTTACTTGAGAAATTATAGGCCTTAATTAGTGAAATTTGAAAGAGACATTGCCACTGACCAGTAGATGACGCCTATGGTTGTGAAACGTGATATGGACATTGCCATGGCCTGAATAGCTTACCATTCTATAGTTTGCGGTCAAAAGGTTAAGGTCATAGTAACAGTGGAAAATCCTTTTCAGATCAAAAACTTTAGAAGGGATATGACTAGATATGTTAAAAAAAATTGTAGGGACATTGCCCATGGCAAGTTGATGACCTTTACTGATTTTATTCCCAAGTGCGGGATGGGGAATATAGGAATGGCCTCCGTCTGTCAGTCTGTCCGTCCCTACAAACATATAGATACTTAGGGGGCCAAGAACAATTGGTAACAGTAAATTTCCTTTGATACTATTCATTCAGTAAGCTCTTATGTGACTACTTTTTCTCTTACGTGGCTAAAAGAACATAAGACTTGGCACTGAAAACCAAACTTTGAGCATGTCTGTCTGACCGCCGTAACACTTTTGTGTCTGCTTAATAAATTTTAAATCGCTGAAAATGTTTTGAAATAACTTGTCAAAAGTGATCACCATTATGAGACAATGTGCAAAGTGCAATAACTGGGTTGCTATACCAAAGTTCAAGGTCATACTTAAAGGTCAAGTGTAAAAAAGTGTGCACTTTATGTGACAGCTCCATAACCTTTAAACCACTGACATCTTTTAAAAATGACTTTGCACAAGTGACCACCATTATAAGACGATATACAGAGTGCAACAATTGGGTTGCTACCATGATGGTTAGTTAAGGTTACACTTAAAGGTCAAGTATTAAAAGTCAACAATTTTTGTATGCTCCTTAACCTTTAAACTGCTGAAAATATTTTAAAATAACTTGGCATAAGTGATCACCATTATGGGATAATGTGCAGCCAAGGTCGAGGTCACACTTAGGTCAAATGTAAAAAGTCTACATTTTGTGTTCGCTCAATAACTTTTAAACTGCTGAAATGTTTAAAAAAATAATTTGGCACAAGTAATCCCCATTATAAGACGATGTGCAGAGCGCAATAATTAGTTTGCCATCCCTTAGGTCAAGGTCATACTTAAGGTCAATTTGCTACCCCCAAGGTCAAGGTTAAATGTTCTCCATAACTTTTTGACTTTATGGAAGATTTTAAATAACTTGGCACAAATTATTACTATCATGAAACTATATACTTATAATATACATGGCACAACATCAAGGTCATTGACTGTTAAAGGACAAGAAGTACACATTCATGTCTGCTGCGGAAGGGGATTTAACTGTCCTTCAGACTGTCTTGTAAGGGTTAATTGGTCACAGTGACACTGTAAAAAGCTTGTCTTATCAATAACTTTGGCAGGAATAGGACTAGATTTGTGATACAATGTAGGCAGTTATGATCCCTATTGCTTTTGCTGTCATAAAGTCATTTGAAGGTCATTGTGTAAATTAAATCCTTGGAACCACTTGGTACTGATCATGATTAATTAGTTTGAAGTTTTTATGCTTGAAGATACAATGACTTTACCTTGACAGCTAGCTTATTATATACTTTCTTGTAAAAAATATATAGGTTTATGACATTTTTGTCAGTCAAATAGTGAGTCTGCGTTTGTTGGAAACTAACTCCACCTCTTGGCTAATTTCATGATGGCAACATGTAAATAATTATAGTCTCAAAATTTGAACAAAAATTAAGTATTAATTATTGTGATGTCATTTGGAGAAAGTCAATGTAAAAAAACAACAACACATTTTTATATTAATAATTTGAGCATAAAGGGCATTATACATGTATATTAATGAAAAACCACACAAAATAATTGGATACAGCAGGGTCTTTCAAATAGAATTCTATTAAGCAGTGAAAATTGTAAAATTTTATTTTACATCATTATATGAAATATTCCATTGTTCTGCTTTATTTGATATTGAAATGATATGTTATGATGAATCTAAGGCAATCACATAATTGCAATATGAATAATACTTTCCTTATTCTGAATTAAAAAGAGAACGTTCTTTTCGTTAGTTAAGAACGTTTAGGTTCATTTATAATTATCGGAAACTCTTCATATAAAGAGTCATGTTTAGTACTGCCACGTCAAATTGAACAGATTATAAAATATTTATCGTGATTTAATCAGAGTTTTAACATTTTTTGCATCATTTACAGACAATATGGTAAGTGTTACGTTGTTTTAATTATTGAGGATTGTTATTTTTTGCCAGCTTCATTTCATTGACATCAAAATTATGGCAATAATTTTACCGGCAAATGGGTGGGGTATTTTATAATAAAATTTGTTTTGTTTTCTTAATCAGAATCGGTTCTATTTTGATGCACAGACGCTTGGGGGTCAGATCCTGCCCCCCAACGTGATACGCCCCTGTAAACACTCTGTCAAAAATATTTTAATATTTAAACACGAATGGGACATCTGCTACAACGATACAACTGGTTTTCGATCAATTTTTACATATCTGAAAAAATTACCTTTTACCATCAAGTCTCAATAAGTATCACGTTGGGGGGCAGGATCTGACCCCCAAGCGTCTGTGTTTTGATGGTACTATCTACGGGAAAGAAAGCCTTTTTTGGTCCATCGTTTAAATAATACAATTACATTATTTATATGTTAGTTTACACTGTTTTGTAATTGTTTACAGCATAATGCCACAATAAACATTTTTTAATTTTAAAATTGTTTATTTTTCAGGTTTCGGTTATGAATTCAATAGATACTGCTCATGAGGACATGATTGTAAGTTTTCTTTTTTCTCATCCTGTGACTAATGCTGTCAAAGTTTAACTTGGTTTCTACTAGTCCAATAGATTAGACGTTACAGGCTTGTTATAGTTTTATGTTGGTCAAGCCTTTTGCTAATAGTTATTGCTCAAAAACGCGTAGCATTTTGAAAAATTAAAAAAATGTCTGTTGACTTGCCTTTGAAGCTTTATTCAAAAGCTTATCTTCTGTTCTTTCAATTGCATGGTCTATCATTAACAAAAACTTTAAAACAATGTACTTATCAATTAAAAATAAAATATAAATATCAGTCTATTTCGCTCATCGGCCATACTGGTTAAGTAAAGCGTTTTACAGATTGATTCCAATTTTTTGAACGGAAAAATATATTTGAACACACTGACGGTGCATGGGCAATTATTTCGTTGAAAAAATATTCCGTTAGAAACTTCTGGAATCATTTAAACGCTTGCATTTGAATTAGCCAATCAGATTTCGCGCACTGTATGGCGGCCATTTGTATATCAGCTGTACAAAGAATTTAATTAAATGAGAGGATTTAATCATGACTTTTTGGTTGTGACAGTTCAATTATTTTGTTTAAAGGTATTTATTTTTTAGTTTTGTTCATAAATAGGTCAAAATTAATGTAAATACACGCTGTTTTAATTGTTTAAATTCATTAGATCTAAATCGATGTCTAATGTCAATTTTTTTGCTACACGATTTTGCAAAGATCTGTTAAGACCTAACGTAACATGGAAAATGAAAAATGTAAAATATCAGATTAATGAATGATAAATATGAAATAGGTTACGTATAGGTCTTATAATTAGGACTAGGTTTCTACTTGGTAATACGAGCAGACAAGAGTAATTTACAACCTCTGATTAGGCTGATATGTCTTGATATTTATTTCGACTATTCAAATAGTAAGTGGCTAGATGGAATTACAGTCAACCCGGCCCCAAGTCAGCCCGGCCCCAAATTGGTCAACACGGCCCCAAACCAATTTTATTTCTGGTCAACCCGGCCCCAAACCAATTTTATTTCTGGTCAACCCGGCCCCATTTTTATTATTATTTATTTTGCTTAAAAACGTAAACACTTAATGACTTATCAAGAAATAAGATAAAAATTAACAACAAAAATAAAAGTACAATTATGATATCTTTTATTATTTATTTTATATAAAAACTATCAATATCAACTATCAATATATCCACAATCAATACAGTTATCAGTCATGATGACATAAAGTGATTAATCACAAAACACTATCAATTTTCCAAACACTTAATTTTTAGTAATATTCCAATACCTTTTTACACAGTTAATATTCTTTGAAAATAAGTTAATAAAAAACGAAACAAATATTAATTATAATGATGCACATATTCAATAAAAAACATTCAAATGAATTAAATAAATATTGTTGGAAACTATATTTATACAAACCTTTTAACTCGAAATTCTATGCATTTCTTCCTAATTATCGCATTAACACTCACCAAACCATCTTTAATTTACATCGAATAAAGACATGTAAGATACTACCAACTTATTAAAAGGATTTGTTTTCACAGCTATACCTTTTTTGTTAATTGATTGCTTTAAACTGTTTGATTATCACATCTGAATTAATGTTGATGTACATATAATTGTTGATGTTATATAATAATTCATCATCAATATTGCGTATTAAAGACTTAATCGGCGCAATTAAATTTACCGACACTTATTGTTACTATTGTTCTATAGTTAATAATCTTCAATTAATAATAAATCATTTTTATTCCATCATACAACAAAATGACTTAAATAGTTTTCTTTGAAAAATATATATTCAGGGTTCTCGGGGACGCTTATTTCGGCGTCCCGGTACACTGTTTATTACAGCTGGACGCAAATATTTCAGAGCAAGGATTCCACGTACGCTTAATTTTGCCTGGGGACGCATAAAATTACCGATTGTTTACAACCACAAATACGTCAGTCTATAGGAAGGCGGTCCTATGCACATCGACCCGTGAAGCGATTAGCCAATCAGCGATAACGCTTCCGGTCATTATCACGCAATAGTGATCAGACTAATGTATACACGCGCTGTACATGTAATTACCAGATATAACACAAGGTGATAATTTTATATCTTTGATCAACAGTTGATTGGAAATTAGCAAATTTTACCGACTAAAGGATAAAATTATCAACTACTTACGCCGCGAGTTTAAAGACTGTTTTCTCAAATTACAACTGAGTGTAATATTGAATGAGTGTCGAATTTTTTCGGCATTTTCTAGGCACAATTTTGCTTTAGTTTCATTCTTGCAAAAACGTTCTACAAGAGTATTAAGAATTTAAGATATTGTGCTGAAATGCCAAGACAACAAACAAAAATACACATATGCTTTTCTTTGATCCGAAAATTGATCCCTAACATCGGCGATTAAACGTTCGCCAGAAACCCTAAAATTTCGCAAAAATTCTCAGTTTCCAATCCAAACACGTGAATGAATTGTTCTTTTATTATTTAATCAACATTAAATCTTTAAATATCGATCTTCAATTTGCCCCCTTTTGAAGATATTTGCTAAAATAATTGCCGATCGGATGAATCTCTTACACACTGTGTGAAGCTGTACACCATTTTCCTATTCATTCCGCTAAACGCTGCCTATATACATTTACGTTTTTTTTTACAAATATAAACTTTTTGTCTTTAGAGTGGACTTATTTAACCAGAATAAAATTTGATTTGGTATAAAATTAAATGTGAAAAACAACACACAAAAAAAAAACGATTTCCATGAATTGTGTTTATGCATTATAATGAAATAATTTCATAATAAATATTAACAACAAAACAATAATTCAGAGTTTGTTTTTTTTGAATAACTATAATTGAAGATTCAAAATATCAGCAATGCTATTGTGAGCATTGAATGACTAATCTATAAACATATTAATTGCGACGCGCTTTTGGACTCCAACTTTTTCAGGGTTGGGAGTCCATGGACTCCATGTTTTAAAGTCCTAGTGAGAACCCTGTATATTTTGGGGCCGCACTGACCAATTTTGGGGCCGGGTTGACCAAATAAAAATACCGTGGGGCAGGATTGACCAATTTTGGGGCCCGGTTGACCAATTTTGGGGCCCGGTTGACTTGGGGCCGGGTTGACTTGTACCGGGCTAGATGTACTGACCCATATTGATCAGGGCTCAAAAAATCCGCTCGTAAATACGAGTAAAAATTGACTCCGGACGAGTTAATCTCCCGGAAATGCTGGTCCTGCAGGATGAGTGAAAATTTCTAGCAGAAAAAAAATTAATTTCAATTCAATTTATCTTATTATTATTTGAAACCTTTTTTCAAGTTTCAATCACATAGGTGGCGTGATAGCTCAGTTGGTTAAACCACTGATTATCACCCCTGAGGTCCCAGGTTAACCGTTTGATGCTGGGTTTACACCCTTGGGATTTTTCAGAGACATTTTCAATGTTTCCCACCTACCTAGAGGTGTACTGGTAAAAAATCTAGGTAATCCTTGCATGTATTAGTGCTATACCCTGGGCATGTAAAAGAACCAAGGGGTCTATTCAATAAGAGCTGGGGACTGGTTCCTGGATTCCCTTGTATCTCATAGCTGTCTCTTTAATGTATACAATGTATACCTGCTTAGAGTGATCGTAAACGATTTTAAAGCAGTATGATGTAGAAATAGAAAAAAAAAGAAAACAGAATGTTCACAAAATAGATCCCATGTGTTTGATGAGCAAAACGGATGTTGATTTGTTGAAAACACCGCTTAATTCTGTCAGTGACTCACCCTGTTTTGTTAAATATACTAAATGCTCAATGTGGCGTTTTGGTATGTTCTGCAAACGACGCTCTTTACATAAATAATACAAAAATTTGTCTGATCCAGACAGTTGACAATCTGATTCAGACTGAGACATAAGTCAGTCATGAGTTGAAACATAATAATTATAAATATAATACAGAAGAATTTGTAAGACACAAGTAAAACAGTAACACATGTAAAGATTCTTTGGTTTATTGCACATTATATAATAGTAAAATATTAAACACTTAACAGTAAAAAATGTTTATTTGTATAGGAGATAAGGCACTTTACCTGTATTTTCATTGATCTTTATAATAAAATTGACTAATTTATATATTTAATTCAGCATGATGCACAGTTAGATTACTATGGAACAAAATTAGCAACATGTTCATCAGATCGTTCCATAAAGGTGTTTGATGTAAAAGGTGGACAGCAGAGGCTTATAACAGATCTTAGAGGGTAAGTTAACCTTAGTAAGCTTATAAAAAAGATCTTAGATTGTTAGTTAATCTTTAATATATATATATTAAATAAACTAAACAGTTCAATAACTTCGAAAGGTAGACAATGCTTTTCAGCTTAAAATTGAAACTTATAAAGCACCACTTCAAAACCATCAGCTTTAAACTAAGAGAGTTTTTGTAGTAATTTCCTTTGTAATACATGTAGATATTTTGCTTTATTCATTAATAATTATATGTTTCTGATTGTGCAGGCATGAGGGACCTGTATGGCAACTTGCATGGGCACATCCAATGTATGGAAACCTCATAGCTTCATGTGGTTATGACAGAAAAGTAATTATCTGGAAAGAAACAAACAGCACATGGGGAAAATTATATGAATATTCCAACCATGATTCTTCAGGTAAATCAGTGTTCGACACTAACGCAGTCCCGCGGTCCCGAGGACTCAAAAATTGGCAAGGGATTTCTTAAGTTCCAAGTCAGATGTCCCATTGGGACTTTTAAGTTTTTAAGTAAAAAATATACAAAACAATTAAAATTGATCTTTAATCAACTTTAAAGTATTCATTTAAGATTGTAATCTTGCAAAAAGGTATTTATTAAACGTGATAAACTTGCAAGAAGTAAACCGGAAATGAAACATTGTTTTACAAAACACGAAAATTCTCCACATACCAAACATTCCAATGTCAGTATTTGCCGATATTTTGCTGTATTTTTAACCATCATAGTAAAAATGATATGTTTTATATAGTTTTGTTTAATATTTTATGTTTACTATGATGTTAGAACACTTACACCGTGGAAAAAGTCGGCAATTCCATAATCAATAGTGTACTAGATTTCGGATAAACACATTAGGATGCGTGATTTTTTGGGGATTTTTTTAAATATACCGATTTTGTGATTATATTTTAAATGCAATAATAATAACTTGTTCCTGTCTTATCATGGCATTGATATCATTATGTAAAGGAATTATGAGCAAAAAAAGCTTTTTTGCAGTAACTCATTTTCTTCTCTTCAATGACTAGTTTACACTTATTCAAGTAGACCTAATACAGCAATATTATAATATCAAATGAAAATTACTTACTGCATAACTACAGACAAAGGAACAAAATATATTATATGTATTAAAGTCAGTAATATTTAGGAAATATTTTACAAGACCTATAAACACTTCCAACTGCATGTATGATTTTGTTACCAAACTTAATAATGCTGGAAGGAAACATAAAGGATTTCGTTCCTTCATCACTTAATGTTATCACAGATCCATGGGCTATGATCAACATCCCAAAAAGTAGAACTAAAGAACAATAAAAATAAGTTGCACATCAATATTGATAGACAAAGGTTATTGCTTTATTCTTAAAATTATATAAAAAAAAAATCAGGGACTTCCAACTTAGGGAAGGGACTTTTGAATTCAAAAACAGATGTCCCGTTGGGATTTCTGGCTGAAAAGTTAGTGTCAACCCCTGTAAATACTGTAATAAAACTTCATATTAAAGGTTAAGACTGTCAGCTGTTTTATGTTTATGTTACTTATTCTATGAAACATATGGATTTTAATCATTTAGTCATTAGATCATTAAGATACAGTTAGGTTTGGCAGGTAAGTCTACAAGTGGCAGCTTGGCCAAGTTGGACTAGTAATCTAAGGATTGCTGACCACATGGGTTTAAACCCTGTCAGGGACAAGCTGTTGTTTCCTTGAGCAAGAAACTTTACATTCATTGCTTAGTACTGGTTGGTTCCAGGAACAGATTTTAGGGTATTTCAATACGCTTATAGCTTTCAACACAATCAGTCTAAAATAAATTTGTATAAACTATGGATTGTTTGTATAAAGTAATGTTTTACTGTATTTCTGAATAGTCGAAACTCTGTTGATGTTATGAATACATAAACCTGAAAACTTGTTTGTTTTATTGCTGTAGATTTTGAATTTTAAGAATGAATCACTGTTTGTAATGTTTTTATGCCCCCACAGAGTGGGAGCATATAGCGTTGCACTTGTCCGTCCGTCTGTCTGTACGTCCCGAAATCTTGTGAACGCAACTCCTCTTAAACTGGATGGCAGATTTTGCTTAAACTTCCAGGGATGAACAACCTTAATGTGTAGATGGTAGTAAAGGAAGGAATTTTTGCTGCGATCAAATTCAACAGAATTATGGCCCTTTGTTGATTTTTTCACTATATACTATGTAAAAATTTTGTGAACGCAACTCCTCTTAAACCGGATGGCAGATTTTGCTTAAACTTCCAGGGATGAACAACCTTAGTGTGTAGATGGTAGTAAAGGAAGGAATTTTTGCTGCGACCAAATTTAACAGAATTATGGCCCTTTGTTGACTTTTTCACTATATACCATATAGAAATTTTGTGAACGCAACTCCTCTTAAACCGGATGGCAGATTTTGCTTGAACTTTCAGGGATGAACAACCCTAATGTGTAGATGGTAGTAAAGGAAGGAATTTTTGCTGTGACCAAAATTAACAGAATTATGACCCTTTGTTGATTTTTTCACTATATACCATATAGAAATTTTGTGAACGCAACTCCTCTTAAACCGGATGGCATATTTTGCTTAAACTTCCAGGGATGAACAACCTTAATGTGTAGATGGTAGTAAAGGAAGGAATTTTTGCTGTGACTAAATTTAACAGAATTATGGCCCTTTGTTGATTTTTTCACTATATACCATATATATGTTGTCAGTGGGGACATCCGTGTCCTTTGGACACAGTTCTAGTTGTCTTTAGGAACTCAGTTAAAAACTCAGACAAAACTTTCACATTTAATTAATTATTAATAATTTCAACAAATTTATTATACATGTAGTTATAAGCTATGTGATGATTGATTGTAAGTTATTGAATGTTTGTCATTTTATGATTTCAGTAAATTCAGTATGTTTTGCACCACATGAACTAGGACTGGTTTTAGCATGTGGAAGTTCAGATGGGTCAGTCTCAGTATTGTCAAGTACAGGTAACAATTTGTTTTAACTACATTGTATTACATTAGTATTACACCTTAGGTCTTCCACTAACAACGCTGGAAAGTTACCTTACTGCCTTAAAATGTGTTAGTGTGACAGTGACATCTTGAATATGAACCAAAAAAAAAAAGTTTGAAAATACAATTATTTGCAATTATGAATAATTCAAAAATTACTTTCTTGTTTTAAATAAGCTATTAACTTTTATATAGGAAAGTCTTTAGGGCAGTACTTTGTAACCCTTAATTTACTGAGTTTTTGTTATGGATTTGCCCTGCTTTGAATTTGAAACAGTGTGTTCAAAGTTTAAGGAATTTCCTTATGAAAATACAAAATTTGAGGTGCCATTATTGAATAGCCTGGACAGTTTGCACTGTAGTATTAGATATAAAATTCAAATCATGCAGTCATCTAATTAAGCACTGCCCCGATGGCCCCTGGCCAGTGTAAATTTTAAGAAAATTTAGTTAAATATATAGTAGAATAAATTCAAAACTGGAATTCAGGTCAGTAAATTCAAAATCTTTAATTCAATGACTGCAAATATGATAAATAGAGTACATGCCCTTTGATCTACAATTACAAAACCTATATTTGTAATGTATTATTGTATAATAAAAACTGATTTCTATAGAAAATGCCCATTCAGAAGAAAACTTTATTTTCTGACTCAAAAATGTTTTTATTTGCAGGAGATGGAAGTTGGGATGCCAAAAAAATCAAGAACGCACACACAGTAAGTATTTTTTTTTTCGTGATATTAAATGATTTCTTGCTAATCAGGTAATAATTAAGACAACTTAAAAAGCAACTGTAGAATTAATATTTTATTATATATTTATTTTAAATATACACCAAATTGCACATAAGACAGACAGTCCAGAGCAAAAAAAATTCTTGGGAGTGCATGTTAAGAGTACTAGATAATCTTTATTATATGTGTTAGTAAGAGTAGTGCTACCAGTACAGAGTTAGCGTCATCTGCGTCTGAATGACATCTTACTTTATTATACAGCTGGGTCCTATCCTTAAATTAGATATTTTCACCTTGAAATCCCTTAAACTCCAGGATTAATTTCAACACTGGCCAGTCATGTTACACAAAGTCAGCAATGTAAAGGTTTTTCAATCAAATAGCAGTTTAAACTATGTTTCTGTTTGATATGACTATATCATTACTTTAGTGATACATTTTCCTTACCCACAGATTGGCTGTAATGCAGTAAGCTGGGCGCCAGCATTGTCACCAAATGCCTTGTTTGAACAGACAGGTCGACCATCTTTAGTGAAGAAACTTGTGTCTGGAGGGTGTGATAATCTGGTCAAAATTTGGAGGTAAGTTTTAGTTAAGTTTGTGTTATCTCCCCTGGTTTAGTTTAAAGATACTACACAGTTGGAATTAAAAAAGATATCTGTAGGTTCTGCCAATAGGACATTTTACAGGATTTAATAACATCGCAAATTATATTTAATTAACCAGGGCTCTCAGTAGGGTCAGAATTTCACGAGTCAAAGACTCTTTGGCCAAAATTTTCATGAGTCAAATAATTTTTTTCTTAAGTGTCATTTGACTACATGAATCATTTTTATGTTACAAAAATTACTGTATTGGAGGTCATTTTGTGTAGATTCTCAAGTCTAAATTGATAATATTTAACATGGAAAAAATGCCTAGTTATAATGTATATATATCCCCCCCCCCCCAAAAAAAAAGACAACTAAAACAACAACAAAAAAAAAAAAAATGAATTGCATCTTTACTGTGAAAGAATAAATTAAGCAGCAGCTTTTCTGATTAAAAGTTTAAAATATAAAAAAATATCTTTACTGGTATGCTATATATCATATTAATTTTAAATACCAAAATGCACTAGGAATATTTAATGGAAATAACAAATGTACAGGCACTCCAAGTAAATCAAAGACGTATCATAAACCTTTAAAAGCAATCAATAATTGACACCTCAAGTATGTAATTCTTATCAGTTGTGTAGAGCTATTTTTAGCGCTGTCAAATTGCATCCAATGATGTCGCGCTTCAGTGCACAGGCTATAAACAATGCTGTGTATTACACACGGTGACATTTTTTTGAGTGTGATTTGAACATATGTAGGATTTGATAGGTAATTAGGAGTAGATTTAAGGTAATTATTATTGCATAGCTGAAAATCCCACGTGGCAAATTGACTCTTGTGCAGATTTTATCACGTGTCAAATTTGTGCATTTCCTGATTTTCACGAGTCAAAACCCGGATCCCCGTGTCAATCGAGAGCCCTGTTAACCTTTACCATGTTAAATGTCTTAAATGGGCTTGTAAATTTTTCACGAAGAATCAAAACCATCCATCATTCAAAACATGTACTGAATAGATAGTGAGTAGCACAGGCCATGATCACAGCACAAATGTGCCGGCTGATCTCGGTCTGCATTGGTCGCATGAGAATTTATGAGTGTATGTGATATTTTGTTATACATTTAAATCTCAAGTGGACTATGGTCGAATGATTAATGTTGTCAACTTGAAATAAGTTGCCCTTCCCTCCTTGCTATAGGCTTTTACCCTTTCATTTTATCCATCATTTAACGTAACTCCTGATCAACAGGTTTGGTATCAATTGTCATTCTCTTACTATCCAGACTATGATGGTCAAAATAAAGTAATCAGTGATTGAAAATTCAACTTGTTTTCTTATATTAACGTGGAAAAAAATGTCAAAATTTGCAACAGGACAAGTTAAAGAGAAAAATACTAAAGAAGGTGGCAACTACTCATCCTGTAGGATGAGTGGCTCTGAAAATATTTTTTGATCCATGGAAATGTCATTATTTTCATCTTAGTTAGTACATGTACATGGTTACAATGATTATAATGGGTACTGTTTACAGAGAGGAAGATGGTGAATGGATTGAGGAACAGAAATTAGAGGGTCACAGTGACTGGGTAAGAGATGTAGCCTGGGCACCATCCATAGGTCTACCTAAAAGCATCATAGCTAGTTGCTCACAGGTACGTTAAGGTTTGCTTTATGAACATTACTATGTGATGTTACTTCATTTTGCCAGAATTCATTAGTTTGAAATGAAAAATCCCTTGCGTTATTTTGTTGTGGATTAGAATATGAAATGATGCTTTAATGAAAAGTTGTTTTGTACAATGAACTTGTTTTAAAATATTGAGACAATTGGTTTTGAATTTGAGTTTGATTACACACAAAAAGAAATTAAGTTTTGAGGCAGCCCAAAATTCAGTCATTTTAGCCTTCAGCCTTCTAATAACAAGCCTGATTAAAAGGTGCAGATGAAGGACTTTTTACCAGATGAGTGGGGGAGGGGGTAAAAAACATTCACAAAATAAAAATGCATGTTCTTATCCAAGCAATTTATTTTATGCCTATTCTAAAGCAGAATAGCAAAATCCCAGTAGGATGTTGCATGACCCTTTATCCACACACCTGCCACTCCGACCCCGACCTTTACTCCTCACATGAAAAGCAAGACAATATTGTAAAATTCTGAAATATGTTAAAACTACTTACAAACTGTTCCTTATTCAAAGGTCAATGCATTCATTCTTCATTGAAAGGGTTAATTCAATTTATTTGGAAACCCATAATTCCAAGGTACAAACTTTTGATTAGAAAATAGACTTGTAAATGTAAATTGTTTCTTTCTATAGGATTGTAGAGTTCTCATCTGGACAAATGATGGCACAAGCAATAACTGGTCATCGTCAGTGTTAAATAAATTTAAAGATGTAGTCTGGCATCTCAGCTGGTCAATTACAGGAAATATCTTAGCAGTGTCAGGAGGCGATAACAAGGTATAGTTGTTGTTGTTGTATTATCTATTAACAAAGTGTAATTGCAATGTTAGCTGAATAATTTTAGAATTTATAAGTTTTCCAACTTATATATCATTGGTGTTAAATAAAATTTGATTTTGTATGTAACTTCATAAATTATTAGTGACTTATTACTCTACATGCATGGCTGGAACTTAGAAAAGACATAATATTAACTTTTTTGCAATTTGTATCTTCACAATTCAGACTCGTTTATGGAACATCGGTGGTTATACTCTGGTTCCATTTCGTGCCTGAAATAATGCACGGAAGGGCACCTGAAGACTTCCTCCATCAGTATTGAGTAAAGCTGGAATGCTGCCATATGACCTTTACTGTGTCGGTGTGATGTAAAACCCAATCAATCAAACAAAGTATTGTCACAACAGCACAAAAATTGCTTGAAATTTCCTTTGAACCTGAATTCATTGTTGTGTTAGCCTGTTACTTGTGCACAGATGTTTACTGCATTATACCATTTTTTAAACAATGCATATTCCGTATAAGGTTTTAAACTCTATGTAAATCTGAAAAACTTTCAATTGATAAATTCTAGTTGTCAACTTTTAAAACTCGTGCATTAACAAGGCTCTAGATATACAATAAAGTACTGAAGATAGCTGGCCTAAATACGTTTTTAGCTCACCTGTCACAAAGTGACAGGGTGAGCTTTTGTGATCGCTTTTCGTCCGGCGTCCGTCCGGCGTCCGTCCGTAAACTTTTGCTTTAAATGACATCTCCTCATAAACCACTGAGCCAATTTCATCCAAACTTCACAGGAATGTTCCTTTGGTGGTCACCTTTAAAAATTGTTCAAAGAATTTAATTCCATGCAGAACTCTGGTTGCCATGGCAACCGAAAGAAAAATCTTTAAATATCTTCTTTTAAACAACCCTAAGAGCTAGAGCTTAGATATTTGGCACGAAACATCTTCTAATGAGTGTCTACCAAGTTTGTTCAAATGAAAGCCCTGGGGTCAAAATTGGTCCCGCCCCAGAGGGTCATTGATTTTCCCTATATGCATATAGTAAAAACTTAAAAAATCTTCTTTTAAAGAACCCAAAGAGCTAGAGCTAAGATATTTGGCATGAAACATCTTCTAGTCAGTGTCTACCAAGTTTGTTCAAATAAAAGCCCTGGGGTCAAAATTGGCCCCGCCCTGGGGGTCATTGATTTTCCCTATATGCATATAGTAAAAACTTAAAAAATCTTCTTTTAAAGAACTGTAAGAAGCTAGAGCTTAGATATTTGGCATGAAACATCTTCTAGTGAATGTCTACCAAGTTTGTTCAAAATAAAAGCCCTGGGTCAAAATTGGCCCAGCCCCAGCGGGGTCATTGATTTTCCCTATATGCATATAGTAAAAAACTTAAAAAATCTTCTTTTAAAAAGAACCGTAAGAGCTAGAGCTTAGATATTTGGCATGAAACATCTTCTAGTGAATGTCTACCAAGTTTGTTCAAATAAAAGCCCTGGGGTCAAAATTGGCCCTGCCCCAGGGGGTCATTGATTTTCCCTATATGCATATAGTAAAAACTTAAAAAATCTTCTTTTAAAGAACCGTAAGAGCTAGAGCTAAGATATTTAGCATGAAACATGTTCTAATGGGTGTCTACCAAGTATAAATATAAATATATCAAATAAAAGCCCTGGGGTCAAAACTGGCCCCGCCCCGGGGGTCATTGATTTTCCTTATATGTGTATAGCAAAAACTTAAAAATCTTCTCTTTGAAAAAACCAAATAGCTAGAGTTTAGATATTAAGCATGAAACATCTTTAAGTAAATATCTACAAAGTTATTTCAAATAAAAGCCCGGGGTCAAAACTGGCCCTGCCCCAGGGTGTCATTATTTTTAACTATATGTTATAGTAAAAACTTAAAAAATCTCTTTTAAAAACCCAATGAGCTAGAACTTTAGATGTTTAGCATGAAAATCTTTTTATGGGTGTTACCAAGTCTGTTCAAATAAACAAATAAAAGCCCTTGGGTAAAAATTGGCCGGGGGGGGGGGGGGGGGTATACAGGGTGGAGCGACCTCAGGGCCATCATGGCCTTTGTTTGTTTTGCCCCAATTAAAAAGGGTGGGGGGGCATATATATTCACTCTTTATCAGGGTGTCAGTCCATTGATTGATAAAACAGTAGAATGTGCTTGAACCCGTGTCCAATTTTAAAACAATTCTAGTTTTACATAAATGACTTTATATAAAGTGGCCATATGATTCCAATTTTCCAAATAAGCAGGGTACACCATTTTTTTCCCAATTACATTATTTGATAGTGATAGCCATAATGTTTATTATTTATTGAATGTTATTTTACAAATATCAATAATTTATACAGGTAAGCTTATGGAAGGAAACATTAGAAGGACAATGGACGTGTATCAGCGATGTTAAGAAAGGTCAAGGTCAGGTCACAGAAAGCCAATCACAAGTCAGCAGGAATTTATGATCTTAATTAGGTGCATGTGAACTGACATTTAGTAAATATGAACTTGATGAAAGGAAAACTTGTGGTCAGCATGAAATATTGATAAATAGGAAGATAAAGTTATATTCAATTAATTGTTCTTTACAAATGAAGGATGAACATGCTATATTCAATTAATTAATTGTTTATAAATGAAGAACTACAATGATACATCCAGTTAATGAAAAGTTCTTTATAAGTGAAGAAAGAAGAACATGTTATATTCATTTAATTGTTAAATTGTTCTTTATAAATGAAGAACAAACATGTTTTATTCAATTCATCAACAGTTCTTTATGGCTGAAGAACCAAACTTGCTATATTCAATTAATTTATTGTTCTTTATAAGTGGTGAGAAAAACATGTTTTATTCATTTGATTAAAAGTTTCTTATAAATGAAGAATAAATTTGTTATATTCAATAGATCAACGAAGAACGCCCTTGTTATAATATTCAATTAATAAGTAGGTCACTCAGATGTTAAGTGCTGGAAGACCGATAATTATTGTGCTTGTTTTTTATGGGAAGATTACAATGAGAATTTTGTTACAGACAGAATGTTTATAGAGATTTTAATAATGAAAATTGTTTTGAAATTTATGTAAAACAAACATGTTTTATGTATGTCTGATTGAATTTTATGGTAAGGTTAATCGTTTTCAATTTTTGTGCAAAAAGCTGACCTGTAACTGTTTAATATTGTAAAAATATACATCTTTACATTATTTTCAAAAGTAAAATTCTACATGAAACTGAGTCTTTCGTAGCAATTGAAATTATTTTTATTGTTCATATGAGAAAAAAAATATGTAAATAAAACAAAACTGAAATAAATGTTTAAAAATTATGTTATAATGTTGTTTGTTTTAACAGTGGAGTTAATATATGGTCACCTTAGTTTAGTATTATGGTTGTCAGTTTTATATATCTAATGTATTATCAGTTTTACTACATGAATAATGCTTGCATTGTTCTAACCCCCCAACCCCCAAAAAAAAGAAAATGCTGTCCTTTTCTTCTGATATGATATCATGATGGTATGTATCTTGAATATATTTTGGTCAATTCATTTGGGCATAATAAACCCTTAACATGCTGAATTTCTTAAATGGACTTGTCCAGCTTCTATTTTTGGGACTGTCCATTATAAATGGGAGTGTTGAGATAGGGACATTGGAAGTTGGTAAGTAAACAGTATAGTGCCTGCATGGATGTGTAGGGTGTCCTGGCTTTATACTGGTGGTAAATGTTTGAAATCATTTGTTTATCGGGAATAAAGCTATTGATGCTGATAGGCAGGTTGTGCAGACTATAAAGCATGCTCTTAAAACAGTTGCCAGAGATATCTGGTATACAAAGTTGTTTAATGTAAAGGAACCTTTAATACCTTACAGTGGAAAAGAAAATCACAAAAAACTTTATTGTGTTTATTTTTGCCTTCTTATCCCCCGCCGATGGAATGGCAGGGCTTTTTTCACAGGTTGGGGAAGCAGCCCAACCCTTAATTTTGGGGGAAAATTACATATTTGCAAAAGTGGAAGAAAAAACTTTATGTTAATTCAATTTTTTTGGGAAAACTGCATGATTTTAAAGAATTTTATTTGGGGGGAAGCAGCCATATACCGGCCCCTGCTATACCGAAAAAAAGCCCTAAATCGGGTGGCGTTGTCCGTCTGTCCGTCCGAATTTCGTTTTCGCGCTAGTTCTCTGCAGCTACTGGCTGGAATTCAACGAAATTTATGAAAACCTTCAATATCAAGAGGAGATGCGCATATCGTTGCATTGTTCCGGTCAGACCCTTTAACTCAGAGTTATGACCCTTGATTAGTTATGCATTATGCAAATACAGAAATATTGCTATAATAATTCCTTTTCAACTGCTGAATTGATTTCAAGAAGATTTTATGGTACTTATTAATACGAAAAGGAAATTTGCATGCCATGATCAATTTATGCAAAAGAAAACATTATGTTTTCAGTTGTTATGTTAGTAATAACCAGTACACGGCGGGGGATATAAATTCAACAAATTTGCTTGTGTTAATCTTAAACTATTCAGCCTCATGCTATTGACTTGTTGATAATAACGGGCCTGCCAATGAAAGTTTTATGTATTGTAAACAAACGAAAGGTCGCATTGTTGGTTTTGCAATTATTGTCGTATTGAATTTTCCTATTTTTCAAGATCTTGAACTTTTCGCAGTTGTGTTATAAATACAATATGTCTGTGTCTACAAATAAAAAAAACAACAGTAGAGTTGATTCAGAGAGTTAGATATGAGTTTTGTCATTAGTGAAACAAGCAACGTTTTGGTTTTGCCTAAACAGTGTTGATTATAATAATTCAACATGATGTTAGTAGTAAGGGATGCATTGGTACAAGTTTTCAGGCAGTTGCCTTAATTTCAAGTTTTTCTATAGTTCTTAAAGCACTCTTTTACTATATAGAACCAATTAAAATAATGCTAACTTCAGAATTTTCAGGCTTTCAGAAATTTTGAATTTGCACCCGTACTGATGTACATGTATTGAACTACGGCTTAAACCCATAACCTTGAACCAAAATTAATCACCAGTATAGAGCCAAGTCAGCACTCACTTACATGCAGTCTGACCAGGCTCTATACTGTTGTTTTAAATTTTCGATTTCCCTAAAATTTGTAATGGGCAGTTCTAGATATCAGCTAGTAAAGGATTGATCTCTAAAATGAAACAAAATCTCTTCTTTTTAGCTCTAATTTTCAAAGAAAATAAGTGAAGGTATTGTCTTGACCCACTGATCGGCATTGTCATTGGTTAAGTAATATCGAATATAGAACATGTTAGATATTAAACAAATGAAGAAAATAGTGCTGAATGTGCAGATTTATGATGTTTACTACCTACTATGCTAATAAAGTTATAACATGGAAACCTCATATTTGGATATACCCTTGAGTGTCACCTGTCGCATTGATTTAAAGGTCAAAAGGTCAAGGTCAATGTGACCTTGAACAGGTTAAAGGTGAACGTCCATTTCCTCAGAAACTGCTAAAGCTATTCACTCCAAACTTGGTTTATTTGATCATTACCATCATGTCATGCAATTTCAAAAGTGCAGATAATCCAAAAATTATTTTTTGCGACGTTTTATAATTTTATCAAAACCTGTAATCATCTCAGATATTTGCATCAAGCTCAAAAGACTTGTTGAATATCACAGTCAAAATAATTCTTCCAAACAGTAAATCAGAATTAAGACCCATTTTCTGCTTTGCTTTTCTCTTATTACCGACATCGGAGTGCGCTGCTGTTCGGACATCTCTTGTTTGATTAAGGTGTTATTGATAGCAATTTTTGTTTTGTTCTGAATCACATCAATACTTTAAAGATCATAATTATGGCAACTTTTCAGCTTTACCGGTGGAATGATACCCCAAGTGCTCCTCTTTTTGTTCTTTCAAACACAAGCGGACACCGGAACCATCGACATTACTTAAGCTAGAACTCATTAATTAAATAAGCCGTGTCCCGACAAAATTGCGACCAGCATGGATCCAGACCAGCATGCGCATCCGCGCAGTCTGATCAGGATCCATTCTGTTCGCTTACCAACCCTTTTACAATTCTAGAAACTGATAGCGAACAACATGGATCCTGATCAGACTGCGCGTATGCGCAGGCTGGTCTGGATCCATGCTGGTCGCAAACCCATTATGTTGGTTTTGTCGTGACACGGCTCATTAATAACATTGGGCATGGTTTGTGACAACTGTCAACATACATATAGTGACCAAGGAGACAAGGTAATTTGCATTATCATTGTTCGGATGCGAATATAATTACAATTTCATTAATTATTTATATATTTAACCATCAATCTTGTGAAATAACAGCTCACTTCTTAATAACGCAACACTTCATGTAAACAGAAGGTCTGAACTTTAGTCCGATTGAAATATAGATTTGTCTGATTGAAAAATATTGAATAAAACAAATGAAGCTGGGCGTGCAAATTGCTAGGGCTTTCTTTTTCAATAGAAAGTAAACTATTATGGCGTCACTATTTCTATTTATCATTACTTTAACTGTTCCGCATGATTTGTTGCTTTAGAAATGTTCAATAGCTTCTTGCCTCTATACATATTATCATTTAAATAGCGTATTGAAAATATCCATTTAATATGTAAATTTTAATTTGCTGCTATTCTTTTGAATGAGAGTTTAGTCTTTAAGTTGTCAATGAATTTTACAAAATTAAAAAAAAATGCATTACATACATAAAACACTTATGACAAGGCTTGCGGTTTATATTGATTTATATCGGCCGCAAAATTAAAATACATATATAACACTAGATTGACGAGGCTTGCGTTTTATATAGATTTATATCTCCCGCAATATCTGAAATTGATTTATTCTCCCCTTTGTTTAACTTCTCAGTTCTTTTGGAACTCAACAAATTGGAAAAATAAAGAAACAATCGAAGTCAATCGATTTGAATCTACCATACTGAAGCTGTAAATAATGCTCAACAAGTTTGTGTTATAACAACATCCCTGTTGACGGAAGTGACATTGCTATGAATTTGCGCTTGCGCGGAACTGTCCGTTTCGGCACTTGAACAAACCAGGAAAATATAAAAAAAATCTATGGCAGTTTGTTTCTAAACGTTTCCTGGTCCATAGAATCGCATAAACGTATACTATACTGTTGTTCTAACTACCATCATCAAAGACCATTTCGCACAGTTTGACAAATTTTCTCGAGATCTCATAACATCTATGTTGCTTTCCGTTAAAACTATGATAATACCGGTAAGAACAAAAAATAATAAAAAACATTGTAAGAGCAAATCATTTTTCTAACCAAAACATTTCTTTGATGGTACTTTATGTACTATTCAATAGAAAAAAATACCCTACCATAACTACATATTTGAATTTTAAAAAAGGTCCAATCTATAAAATTTAATATAAATTGTTTTACTTTTCATTCAAAAACCAACCTTTTGGTTTATTTTATAAAGTTACCTTTATTCGAAAAAACAAAAACAACCAAAACATCCCCCTTTGGGCCAATTTTTTTAGTTTTTGACAAAATTTTCAAGAATAATATAAACCCCTTTATATAATTTGTCTTTTCAGCCCGTATAGTTGATACCAACTTCGTAATTCTTTTTGTTTACTTTAGACTGTAATTTGACTGATGTCATTGTTATAGAAAAGATATAAGTTTGTAAAATAAAGTGACAAACAGGCTTCTGTACTTTGATTGCGATTCAGTTAAAACAATATAGTATGGCCCCGCAGTTATTATATATATTTTTTGACGTGGAATAAGCTATAATAGGTTATATTCGTCGGAAGGTTGGCATAATATAATTGTTTTCAACTCGTTCAAATGTATACAAAATGAATAATATCATTTAACATTTGAGAATTTATGAATTTCATTTTCATAACTGAATTGACATTAATTGTCATTGCGAGCCAAATACTTCATTTAATTCAAAACAGGGATAACGTAACACCCAAACAAACAGACAAAATCTTTAATATTTAGTATAGCTTAAATACATTATCAAATAAATATCAAATAATTAAAAGTGAATATTAAGATAATTAAATATGAAAGTAAACCAGTTCTATGACACAACTGTATATTTAGATATTGAGTAATACTGTTTTAAGATTATCGTTGATTTCTTTTTATATATAAAAAAAAAAAATAAAACGTTCAATATTTCATATTTTTCACCGCGAAATGCAAGAATATTCAATCTGCA